ATGGATTCACTTGTTTGCTTTTAAATTTGAGCTAGAAGGCTGAAAGTTTTCATTTTTTTTCTAACTGCAGATCTATATAGCTACTTTCATGTTAGTAACTGCTCAGAGAAAATTGATTTAATGTCCCATCTGTTGAACATTTTAAAGGGTCTTCAGAAATTCGAAGAGGAGGGTTTGAGTTCTGTGTTTATGAGAACTTGCCTGGAAAATCTTTAAGGGTCAGGCTTCAACTGTAGCAAGAGCGTGGATGAGAGTGTGGGTGCATTTATAAATGAGCTTATCTTTAAGGCTCCTAGAACCGCACAATTAACAATGTATCTAGCAGTGAGGAAATTATACCACTGACATTAGTGCACAGGGGGCATCCTGTTAGGGTCCTGCACTAGAAATCCCATAGCACCTAAAATCAATTCACTCTTTTACAAATGTTGCAGCCTATGTGGTTTGGTGCAAGATTTAATAAACACAGAGCGTGAAACTGATTGAAATTCTGAATTCAATTCAGAAGGAGGATAAAATACTTATTAAATATAAACAATATTCTGTATAGTACACTGCACTTTGTGGTTTGTTATTACAGAACTGTTCATATCTTTACTAAACTCACTTTGCACGCAATGATTCAGCTAAATGAAAGTGTTCATACCATGTGCCAAATATATTCATTATCTAAACCCGACCAGAAAACATAGATCATACAAAAAACTACGATAACAAGCAATTCTAGCTGATATACACATTAACTTGCAGCATGTGATAGTTACTTATCTTCACTGCCACTCAGCTGTACGGCATCATTAAGGGAGTGGCACAATAGACTGCACTGGAAACTGAAGTACGTCTCCCTGTGAGGTGTCAGGGGGGAGGGACAACCTCAGTGCTGGTTAGTTTTTGGTTTCCTTCTGCACATGACAGAAGCTGCCACAGACAAAGCCATGCACTGTGAGTGATTCTATGCATATGTGTAAAACACAAAAAGCAAACATCTGCATACAGTTTGCAGGGTGAATGTAGGCAAAAATGTGAATACTCTGGTTACAACAGCAAACTCCTAGCAATAACATACTAATTTAGTCTTATCACATATCACGGGAGAATTATAAAAGAATCTGCAGTATTTTATATGTAGGCTGATCTAAACCAGATTCAAGTAAAGAGAGAAGAATACATCAAGATACAGATTTTTCTATGTTGGTAAAAGCCTTTCTCTCCTCTTAAAGGGTGTAGATAAGGTGTGGTGAAGTAATGTTCAGAGACAAGCTCAATACCTTCCGGCTTATCATTGTTTAATCAGCTTCAGCATGCTTCCAGAAATAGACGTGGAGTCGGACAAGCGCAAAACCATTAACTGATTTTCTTTTTTCTGTCTGTCGAGGATGGTAACATTACCAGGAGGCCTTGTGGGTGGCTGAGACACAATCTGATTGGAGCGCTACCTGTGTTTCATGACAGGGAAGGTGGGGGTTGATGGGATACTGAGCTGTGAGCTTGACATCAAATTAGCATTGATAGCAGTGGCAGCAATGTTTCTCTTGCGGTCACATTGCGCCATCCATTATCTCAAATGTCCCTCCTGCTCACAAAAGCGCAATCTTTCTATGTTTCTTTGCTTTTTGATCCTATTTTATCTCCCATGTATGTTTTATGCTTCAAACTGCATCATTATTGCATACAATCATTCTGTTCACTTTTCACCTTACGTTTCTTTAAAACCTGTTTTCAGAGAAAAAAATAATCAATTTGATTAGTATAAGTTATTAGGAATATCTGCTTGCAAAATCAATACGAGAACAACCTAAATTTGTTATTTTAATAAACAAAAGATATTTGAATACTTGTATTAGTAAAATATGTCTACTTGGGTGTAATTAAGTTTACATTAACAGGGTAACTATTGGTCCTGGACTCGCATCAAATCTCCCCCTTATGAGAGATATACAAGATCTATTGTTGTTGTATTTGTTGTTATTGTTGTAAGAAAATACCAATAAAAAATAAAGATTAACACGAGCCAATGTAGGTTAGTTCTCATCAAATGAGAGAAAAAGTTTGAAATGGCCTAAATGCTGCAAAGCTTATACCCGAAAACACCTTCCCTAAAGTGAAGCATGGTGGAGGCTTCATCATACTGCGGATCTGCTTTTTATAAGCAGTAAAATGAAACTTTGATATCGTTTAAATAATGATAGATGGAATCAAATACAAAGCAAACATAGAAGAAAACATGTTCATACTTCGAAAAGCCTGATACTTGGATTAACCTTCATCTTCCAGCAGGGTAACAATCCTTAACATACAACACAGCTACAGAAGATTTAATCCCAAAGGATCTGTGATGTATAACAGATGTTTCTACTAAAGTACTTACTAAAGAGGCTGAAGACAAATATAAATTACTCTTCTATTTGTGAAAAAGATTTGAAACTATAAATTACCATCAAACCACTTCAAAATCATCTAATACTTTGTGACGGGCATCACAAACTGTAATATAAGAGATATGTGAATTCCTTGCAAGGTACTATAATAAGTGCTGAGCAGAAATTACTGCACAATATTTACTAAATTAAAATCCTGTTTAAGCTTCAAATAATTGTTTACAATCCCTACTAGTAGTGACTGCAATTGCTAGTCCATTCTTGCTTCCATGACAAGAATGAACTGGTTGACACCAGTAAAGACTTTCTAGTGTCAATCTCATGTGTCCTGTTATAACACACCATGTGTAGTGAAACACTATCCAAAATGAAGAGAGTTGATTTGTGTGACTCTGCTTTGCAACTCTTATTAACTCTACTGGGAATTTCTATTCCTAAGAAGCAATGTAACTGCAAAGGGCTGACAAAAATAAGAAGAGATAGTTAAAAAAGAGGAGGAGGAGTCATCACAGGTATTTTTTAGAAGGACTTCCACCGACTTTCACTCTGACCCCCTACGTGCACACAAACACAGTCCCACAGAGCAAGAAAAACAAACACACACCCACCAGAACCCTGTATCAGTGCCTCCAGATAGACGCACATACGGGCTGAACTTTACACAGCCCTATCAGGCCCTGAGTGTATCAGAGGACGCTGACAAGTGATGAGCCCGCTCTGGAGGGACTCTGGCAGGCTTGCAGGGTCAGGGGGATTCGACTGGCTTGAGCTAGAATTAAAAGTCCAAAAAAACCTCTAAGCAGACATCACACTTATTTACAAAATCAGGATATGCTAATTAGGGACAACTTTTTTTTTTTTTTTTTTGTACTGTAAAGTCTAATCATATAGTTAATATTATATAATCAATTTTGAGCAGGATTTCCACTTTGGACTGAAACCAATCAGCCTTATCTAGTAGTTTATTATGCAATTGCATCAGAGGAAGTCAGGCTTATGATGTATGAAATAATCAGTTTAATATTTGCAACAGACATCCTACATTGAATTTGGAATCAGAGCTGCCTTTTAGGATTTAGAGGACCTGAAATGTCATATTAACATTGAACTAAGAGACCTCCCCTTTTTATATATTTACATGGTATTGACACATTAGGATATAATCTACTCTGGGCAAAGAAAATGTAGCTAGTAATCTATTAACAGGTCACATCATGAGGGATACTGGGTGAAATGTAACCAGTTTGCCTGGCTTTCAGTAACAGTGTTATTGAATTCTGATACTCTCCTAATACTGTAAAACATCTGTATAAAACCCTGGTAGCCTAACACTGCTGATATGTAAAATTAGGAGTTCTCTGTTTTTATTTCTACCAACAAACTATTTTAATTCCTAATTTGTATTAGTTTATGCCTATAAAATGCTAAATGGTTTGGTATCCTTAGGAGGTTATGCTTTAATGCACCTGAATAGTGTTGTTCCTGTTTATTTTGCTCTGCAGTGTTACAGTTTGACTGTCTTAGTTTGCCGTTAAGTCAAAAGCTTATGTTTAAATTTAGGAGGTCCTCGGGTTGAGTTATCCTTCAATTGACAATTAGCGAACATAGTTGTGCTTTTTTTCAGGAAGTGCTCATTCTGAGCAAAGTCATGCTTTAACCGAATTGAAGTGTTATGACACTTAGACCGAGGCTATGTTAGTCAACACCTTTCCCACTGTGAAATTTGTCGCTAGGGGTATATCATGAATGCAGGCACAGAGCATTATTTTTATTGGTGGATTTTAATGTGATGCAGCAGAAATTTTGTTCCGAGAAAACTGGTGCTAAAACCAGTTTCTGCCTTAACAGTATTCAAGTTTTGGGTACTAATCTGATATAAATTAACCACTAGCCTAAGTGGTTCAGAAGAAAAATCGAAGACTGAGCAGTTGTGTCTAGAAAAACCTGATTCTCCTTTCAGAAGAAAACTTTTTTGTCCCAGCATGTTTTAACCCCCCACTGCTGAGTATAATTACACAATCATGAGCACTAATCACAAAATAAACAGGTTTCTTAAAATCAATCTTTTTAATACAAACTTAATAAACTATCAGTCGCTCTTAACATGTAAGACACTGACTCCAAATACTTTGTTATACCGTTTGCTTTATCAAGTATTGCACAATGTAGGTACAAAATTAATATACGATTACATTTTGTCCATAATATAGCAAAAGTCTTTAAACTCTTAACAGAAAATACAACTCTTATATTTTTGTCAAAAAAGCAAATATTCATAAATCCCACCACTACGGAATAGTCTGTACACAATCTTAAGGATAGTCAATGTTTTTTTTTCTCTTTTTAAAGATGGATTCATTTTATAATTTCAATAAAAAAGGAAACATAAAGTCGCTGCAGCCATCACAGATCACTGGAGTAGTAAAAAGATATAAATGCAATACCATGTTGTAGAAACAATAGATACTCTGATATTTTACAAACTCTGTACTAAATTAAATTATACAATTAGAAAAAGACCAGGAATTCCCACTTATTGATGCCAATTTCTTGAAAAACTAGCAACGTCCAGTTATATTTAAATACTGAAAGAGGCCATGACTTATGGTGATTTTTTTTTTCTTTTTGTATCTTAAAACAGTTACATAAAAAAATATTTTGTGCTTGGTTGGCAAAAGAAATGACAATAATGCATTTTAAAGTTTAGGTAACCAAGCTTGGACAACTTGTACTACAAGCTTTATTAGAAAAAAAATGAAATAAAACAAAAAGAAGTTTAACTCAAGGGGATAAAGTAATTCACCCTCGGGCTCATGCTCTTAGACTTGAAACTTTTACAGGTTACAAGCCTTTTTTTTTCCTTTTGTATTTGACATTCTGTTTTTGTTTAAACTTTTTTTTTTTTTTATGTGCATTTGTGTTTGTTTCCCCATCACATTATCTCTGGTCGTTTCCATATGAAGTAGTAGCTTAGGTAGTACCTTTATATGTACTAGTTGGCCATGACTGGCTGGAATTGCTGGTTAGAATACTGCATGTTGCCTAAGCTGAAACTCAAGCCATCCATAAGGGACTTGTCATTAAGGCCACCGTAGGCCGCAAACACATCGAAGGCATTGCTGTACTGCAGTGAACTGTCTGCGGGGAACAGAGCACTCTGACTGCCTTGGCCCTGCAGACTGGGGAACACAAACTCCTTGGCATTGGGGGACAGGGCTGAGGGCTTCTGGTGCTGCTGTTGCTGCACCCCGAGTCCCAGCCCATACAGCGAGTGCATGGAGGTGGAAATGGCTTTCTGTTTCAGGAGACTGTTCACATTCAGGCCCAAGTTGGTGGGAGAGGTACGTGCCACTTTGTTCCCAGCAACGGTGCCGCTGTTGCCGTTGCGTCCGCTGCTCTTCATCTTAGTGGAGCCGAACTTGGTAGCTGCAAAGGTGGCTGTTGTGAAGGTTAAAGGCTGAGTGGAGCGGGGCATGAAGGTAGGGCTGACTGCCGCCGAGTGGCCAAAAGGTGGAGAGGGAGAGCTGGAGCCTGGAGAGGTCCCGTTCAAAGGCTCACTGATGGGCATAAAGACCTGTGCGTCTGGGTTGAAACTGTTCTTGATCTCCTTGTCCAGGTCAACCCCTCCATTTCCAGCTGCACTTTCATTGCTGTCATCAACGTACAACACTTTGACTGGCCCCTTCTCACCAATCTGGTAGGACACCTCGTAGGGGTCAATCCACACGCTGAGGTCCTGGGGCAGATTGTTGCGGACGTCTTCGATCTCCAGCCCGCTCTCTTTCGCTGCCTTCTCCACCACGGGGTCCACCTTCTCACCCACGTGGATGCATCTGAATCCTGAGCCCTTGTATGGCTTATCCGGGTACCAGTGTCCTTCATACTTCTGCTTCAGCTGCCGTTCCAGCTCCTCGCCAAAGATGTTGACCCGTCTCCTCGGCAGCTTGTTGTACAGGTACGAGATGATGAAGTTGAGAGCTACTTGGATTTCAAGCTGCATAGCGAACTGCTGAAGTGTGCCAGGTGAGTGGAGATTAGCTGGCTCTGACCTTGAACGCGTCCACCGGCTTGGCTTTGTTTATCCGTGTTCGGCACCACAAACGTGCTCCAGGCAGGGGAGGCAAAAAATCAAAAGTGCTGGTTTTGTAAAAGTGATGTCCTTCCACAGGGTGTGATAGAGCTTTCTGAAAAAATGATAGAAAAAGTACATTTAAATGAGTCAATTTAAGGAAAATTTTGTTAAATTACACTTTTTTTTTGAAGGTTTATTTATTCATTCTTTATTCTATTTCATAGACACATTACAAGAATGCCCCACAAAAAAAAAAAAAAAAAATCATTATTATCCCCTAGTTAACGTTATGTTGGAATAATCCACCTTAATCCACATAGATGTGAAAAAAGTAGGCAGTGGACATATTAACCTTGCACTAAAACAGGGAATCCTCTTACATAACACTCTACTTGGACTGCCTCCATAAGGCAGGGGAAGAGGAAAAGTACTGCGGGGGGTTCTGCATTTAATTAACAGCAAACCTAACAGAGTTAATGCACTGGAAATAACTGATAATGGTGGATAAGTTTGAGGGGAAATGGTAGGGGGTTGGATTTCAAAGCTTAAAGACCCTGTCACGGGGTTAGTTTCTGTCCGATTAGTCGTCTGAAAAACTGTGTCGAAAGAGCAGCTTAACCAATTGGCGTCTACACCCATGTTTGGCAATTTTTAAAGAGGTAAGAGGAAATCCTTTGCAGATTAAAAAGGCTATTTGGTAAATATTCAGTGAGGCACGGGGTGTTAAAGCAATCACCCAGCAGAGTGTGAAGAAAACTTGTTGAGAACGCCCAAATACTTACCCTACATATAAATTATTTCATGCATCTTGAGAGAAAAACATGTCAACTCAATCTAATAATACTCATATAGGCATCTGCAATTAAATTATATTTGGTTTTCCATAAAACGCTCAACACATTTGGGGCATTATCGCAAAAAAATAGCCTAAAACAAACAAACAAACGGGGACTATACCGCACATTATATTCGCTATTTGTTGAAAAATATATATTTTTTTTCCAAATGAGATAAAATAAGGCATCCTAATTTGTTTTGTCTAACCCCTCCCAATAACTTTGCAGACTAACGCTGCAAATCAGCTTACAAAGTAAGAACTAAAAAAAAGGAAACTGAAATAATGCCTATATAGAAGGAATGTAAAAGGAGTACTTACCCAGTTGTAAAAAATAAAAATGCTCAGTAGTTCTGAAGTACCGTTGGTTAGTGCAAATAGAAAAAAAAGTATAAATACTTTCTTCACATTGAATATATTAGCGTTACAAAAAAGGTATTCCAGTACGTGTTGATTTGCTTTTTTTAGGATTGGCGTTTAAGGTTTCAGTTTTTAAGGTATTTTTTCTTTTTTTTTTTTATCCTTTCTTCTTTCAGCAGGCTTTGCAGAGTAGCTCCCTCCTACTCGGGAGTTTCGCAACTTCGTCCCCTACTGCCTCTGCGTTTCCTGTATTTATAGACTCCCTCCGCCACGGACACGAGACAAGGCGGTGATGCGGTTTCAGAGGTCAAAACAATACCCGGGCAGCGGATTGGTCGACGGGACGAGTTCCGCCCCGCGAGGCTGCATGGGATCGTCCGCTGATTGGCTGAAGGAAGCTGTCAATAAAAGGCATATGATTCTGAGAAACGGGAGGAACGCCTTTGTGATGGGGGTTTGCGTCAGAGATAATCTAAGACTGTGCTGACAGCAAAAGGCACAAGTAATTTATGATGAAAGGGGAAAAAGTACTATTTCAAATCAACTTAAAACTTATTTTATCATATAAATACATGACTTTGAAAAAAATAATTGTACCCAAGATGTTTTGTAATCTATTTCAGAATAATCTTCCTGGGAACCTGTTGTTTCGTTTATCAGATTTATTAGTGACATTATCTATGCAATTTCTGTTCAATCCATACCGAAAAGCTTCTATATATATTATATATATATTTATATACATTGCTGCAACCTGCCTTGACAAATAGCAGGGACTATAATAGATATGGGCTACGTGCGTTGCCTGAGAGGAGATTCCCTACAGCGGAACAATACAGCAGTGTGGGTGGTGCTGAGTGCTATCTTGAAAACACAGGCGCTGATTGGTCAAAAACGGGGCAGGAGCCCCACAGTGAATGGTGTGCCCGTATCCAAGGTGCTGATGTAGGCTGCGCACGTCATCGCTCCGCTGAACTGCAGCCTGTTGCCCAGTTTTTAAAGAGCTCTAACACACTAACAGGTGCATGTTAATGACAAGTGAGCAGACTGAGAACACGACAGCTGCAGTGGTGACTACAGTCATTGTCACTGGAGGAAAGGTATACCAAACAATAAAAGATTAGTGTTGTTATTAATGCTGTGGAAATAAAAAAAAAAAAAAACGAAATAAAAAAAAAAATCAGTTCAAGGTTATAGAGTTTTAGTATGTTAGATAATTCTTATAGTGTTCTCACTGTTGTAAGCTAAAATTCTCAAGAGAACCTAGTCCAAAGTTCACCTCTGCGGCCTTAAAACAACATGCCTAAGCTCATATGAATGATCTTTTAAGAGCATTTTGCAGATGTCATGTTTGCATTAAGCTGAATTTAGCAATAAGCTGATGATAATGTGAAAGGGGAATAGACTTTGTTAGATGTACAATGAAAGAACTTAAAATGTAAACATGTGGTGGAGTATGTAGTTGGCATCTTAAGCTATAAACAGAGACTAGGTGGTTGCAGAGGCCAGAGATAACTACAAGTCTGTGTTTGGCCCGGACCAAAGGGAACTTTTACATTTATAAAAACAACTCCATGTAACAATGTTTTGTGCAAAGACATATAAAAGTCTAATTTTACTTGTGGACAATATCCTACAAATCATCTTTCTGTGGGAAACATGTTCAAATAATGGAACATATAGTCTGTCCAGTATAGGTTCATTCTATTAAATAATAAAATCTAAATTCCCAGTGCCTGTTTCAGATAGGAATATCATTGTCGGCAGAACTGCTCCTACTTCGATTTCTGATGTAAACAGCTCTACATCCTCCACAAAAACAGATCAAAATACGATTATAAACTAGTATAAACCCTTATGATATTTTTAGGGTAGTTTTAAAATAATAGAAGTCCTCCTTGACAGGACACAAGAGGACTAACATAATATATAGATTTCTTTTATACTGTAAGAGGCCATTAGAGTAATCAACTGCTTAGAACCTTGTAGTAGGGCGTCACTTCATAAATTTGGAACTATCCCTTTAATATCTTATTATCCTTAAAACGATTGCGACTAAGTTTTGCTTACACAACAGCTGTGATTATATTGGAAACAGAAGCTGGCTTGTACAGGCAGAGTGGACTTTCAGACATTCTTCAAGCACTTAAGTTTGTCAAGCGGTCATGTGCTTGTTGTGAGCACACAAATGTAAAAGCACACAAATAGGCTCCCTATGGAAAACTTCCACGAGAAGCCAACAAACAGTAACATTGGGAACTCTGTAGGCTCAAATCAGGGGGAAAATAACCATAACATTGATCTACAGATTCAGGTTTCCAAGAGTGACTAGAATACAAAAACGTTGTTTTCACACAGTCCTGGCAAAGCCTTTTGGTTTGTTTTTGTGACAGTTCTCATTGAAATCTAATGTCACTTTTTCTTTTCGATTGCACAAAACCATCACATAGATGCTGATTTTAACAATACTATGCATGATATATGCTCTATAACTAGGCAGTATGTCATATGTCTAGAATGTGTGGTGTTTGAAAGAGCAATAAAAATCCACAATCTGGCACAGCTAGGTCATGAGCCATTAAAAGGTATGTTAAGACTCTTAGGACTATTGTCTCAATGCATAACCCTCTCATTATTAGGTATAAACCTTTTACTACTTCATATTTTCTCTACCAGTCAATTGGAGAATAGTTTATACTGTGGGTTATTCCTCAAAACAATCATCCTAAGAGTTTTACATAGCTTCTCATGGCTCATGACCTCCATGTGCCAGCATGTGGCTTTTTGTCTCTTGCAGCATAAGGTTCTCACTACTTCCTACAGTATTAATCCTAACATGTCTTTTGAAGCTCAATACACGTAGAGCTGAGGTTGGAGAATATTAAAAGCCAAATGGTTAGCTTGAGAATCTGCAAATTTGACCTTTTTGGGAGAGTGGCAAGAGGTATAGAGGTTTGCCATAAGCAACGCAGGGGACACAGCAAACTGGGAAATATATCCCCTGTTTAGATGAGGCGAAAATGTAACTTTTGGAGCAAAATGAAAAATACTATGCAATGTTGAAAAACACTTTGCATCACTCGGAACACACCCGCTAATCACACGCTAGTCCTCTCATCAGGAAAACGGAAACGGACACTGGTTAGAGTTAGACGATGGTGGAAAAATGGATACTCTAAACAGAAGTCAATTTTAGATGAAAATATGTGAGAGAATGGAAAATATTTTAGATTTGGGAAAAGTTGACCTTCCAGCATAAAAACAAATCCATACTTATAGCCACAGCTACACTGTAGTAGATTGGCATGTGTAGGTAAGGGCCAGTCAGAGTCCAGATTGAAATTTAATTGATAATGAAAACATGAAAAGTGATGTTGTCAAGAGGCTTTCTGTTTAGACTGAGCTATTTGAAATGATGAATGGGGAAAAACTTTACATTTCTACATATATTACTAAATGAGATACCCCAAAGACCTGCAGCTGTAAATGCAGCGTTGTTACTATCTCTAAGTGAATGTTATACTAATGCAAACCACAAAAAAAGTTCATGCTGTCTTAGTCTATCACAATTTTCCAATAGCATCAATGACTGTAATGTGACAAAATGTAAAGACATTAAAGAGGTAGCAGTTCTTTTGCAAGGCAGTTTTAGAGCAAACTTTTTCATTCATGACTGTAGACAAACTTAATAGAATAATTGTGTGGCTTCCCATTTCTCAATAATAAGTAATCAAAAAAATTAGATCGCAATCAAGCTCTTGTGTAACAGAACAAGGTCAATATTCAGATATATTTCATCAACATCTCCCAGTTAAATGAAGGTCATCTGCAAAAACACACACATAAAAAGAAACAACATTCTTGCATAAGAGGCATTTGGTAGAAGATCTTAACCTAGATCTATGTTTTAAAAGAAACTGGATCTCCCTCTGACACCAAATGGCAAGCAGATACTTTGATTTACTGCTGCGTCGTGACAAAAATGCAAACAGATGAGTGTCACACAGATGTGTCCCAGCATGATTATACATCTTCCGTAAGAACAATTAGTTCTCCAGAGGAAAAAAAGTGTGTTTACAGTATATATGTCTCAAACAAAATAAATCTTTGTAATCCTCCTAAAAAAATACTCATTACGTGTGTTTATGTATAAATGTATGGTCTTATTGTAACACAAAATACAAGATTTCTCACAAACTGTATCACTTCAATGTCTGCCTCACCTCCTTCCTATGCATTTTTTCCCCTCTCTCCTCACCCTCCCTCTTTCTAACACGGATGGAAAACCTTTGACGTCACTGCTTGTTATTACTTAACACAACTCTGCAGAGTGCCCTGGGCTCCTTGTAATAGGCAGACGCTTTGCTTCCACTTTGAAGAGCAAATCGTGTGGTGGGCGAGACGTGGAAAAATGGAGAGGAAGACTGAGTGAAACTGGGTCCAAGATTATGCTCAAAGAATATAACAAGAATCTAATGATTTAGAATAACAAACAACAGAATATGTTTAGGCTTTTTGTGGAATGGAAAATTAAATGACAAAAGTCTAATCATTGTCAGGCTGTAGAAACAAACATTAACCAAAAAGAGAAATCTGGTAAAGTGCTGTTACACATTTTCCCATGCACAGCAACATAAGCTCTTTTTACACAGAGATTGCTTCACAATGCCAGACCCATTCATTATGTTGGCATGGTTCACCTTTGCTGCACACACACCGACCACACAAAAGCTACAGAAGGGTGCATGAGTGTGGCCTTTCAAATATCGTGCCGACATGGCAGAAAAAGACAAATAGAGGCAGGAAAATGGCAAAACAACCCAGCTTGAAAATGGCTGAGGTCTTTTGAGTCAGTTATTGTGACTTACTGTTAATATTAGTAGGTAAATCACCAATAAGCTTGACTAGATCAAGATCCAACCCAACTTATTGTGACTCAGTTTGTCAAATGAAGCTAAAGCATGAAAAAGGAAAGGCCTTTTCAAATTTCCTATTTGTTATATTCATGGATGTGCAGTAGAAATGTTTTGAAATAGTTAACTAGACTTCAATAACACAATCTTTAACAGAGAAATGTCGAAAGATCCCATGTTGAAAATAACTGCTTTGAACTAAATTACTTGCTTCATTCTCCTTGGCATCCCTGTTGCTCATGCTCACTAATAGCAGAGCATCTTTTAATCTTCCCCTCCTCCTATCAACAAAACCATACAGTAACA